TTTGAACTGACCACCCCTGCTATTTACTATTGCTGATCACATTTGTGAATCTATGCCGGTATTGAGTGCTTGTATGTGGCAGTGGGACAGGGTGGGATCAGTGGCATGTGCTTATACGTGACTCTTAAATCCCCTTGTCCATCTCCTTAGATGAACTGAGCAGTGTTTACAGCTGTGATCGGTAGGCTGTGGCAAATGCCAAAGGCTGTCTGACCTGGTGGCTGCTCTTGCACTTCTCAAAAAAAAGGTCTAGATGTTTAAGAAGGACACTTAACTTTACTAGGTCTTTGGACAGTTATGCAAGATGAGTGTTCATTCATGTCCTTCTTTTACACATTTTTCTTGACACAGACATTGACCGATTAATGGATACCCTTTGCCAGTTGTCAGTTTGTCTTGCATGATGTGATGATTTCTGGATGGTTTTGCTCACCTGAACATGTCAATGTGTTCTATGCTAAACAAAAATGATTTTACCATTTGTCTGACAATCTGGATAGAATAAATTCTAAAACAATCAAAACTATCTGGTTCTATTGCATTGTACAAGGTACTCTCTTGTTTTAGTGGTCTGCAGGAAGGGCCTAGACAGCACCACGCTGGCCATTCATGACCAAGAAATCTACTGCAAGTCCTGCTATGGGAAGAAGTATGGGCCCAAGGGTTATGGCTATGGTCAGGGTGCTGGGACGCTCAACATGGACCGTGGAGAAAGGCTTGGGATCAAACCAGAGCAGTGAGTGCCTTCCATGGCAACTATATCAAAATGGATTCTTATGTAAGATTTATTAGCTTGAAATGCTGAATGCTATATTGCTTTTTGGACTGTCTCATGGTGGATTATGGTGGTAGAACACTCCAGATTCAAAAAGGAATGTTCTCCAGGTTATCTTTGATGGCATTGTTTTAAAGCATCCAGTGAATTATTGTTCATATCCTTTGTTATCCACTGAAAAAACAACATTGGAGGGCCTCAGCTCATAGATCTGATGCTATAGGTTATGAGAGGAAAGTTTGTTTGCCCAAGCAGATCTCTGAGCTTACAGCAACTCCCACACTTATGAGGATGGAAGGCTAAGGCCTGCTGACTGACTGTTCTCTATGTCAGGTGGCTGTTATTATGAAAGAGCTCACTGTATAACATTAGCTCTAAGGTCACATCATGTTCTGAAAGACAATATGGTCCATTCATCTTACCACGGTTGCAGGAGGTAGTCATCCTTCCTTGTGCAGAACTATCTTTCGCTACCTAGACAACAGGCCCAGTACAAGACGTCAAATGATCTAGTTGTTTTTCTTTTCAGTGCTTCTTTTTTTTCCCTCCCTGTGTAGGGTTCAGGGTCATCGACCCACAACAAATCCCAATCCCTCTAAGTTCGCTCAAAAGTTCGGCGGCTCGGAAAAGTGTGCCCGTTGTGGGGAATCTGTATATGCAGCGGAGAAGATCGTGGGAGCAGGCAAGGTAATGAGGAAGAGGATGAGTGGGAACTAGCTCACACTTTCTCTCAGCAGGCCTAGTGTGATCTTATTCCTGTTTTTTGTTAATAAAATGTCACGCCCAATTTCTGTGCTTTAGTGTTTCCTAAACTACAGTTCAAAATTCTCCATTCCAAACAGATGGCGTTAAAAGTCTGCAGTCTGGTTCAGCAGATGTTTTCAATCATTTTTGTCCTTGGATGTTGATGCAAATGTCACCTGGCTGAAACACCGGAGACTTGTTCTGGGCTGGGGGTGTCATTTTTGATGCCATTGTAGTGTTATAAATGAGGGTGAACATTACATTACATCCTACCCTGCTGTCGATAAGGAAGAGCACTTGTACTCTGGACTTTTCTTAGGGAAGCAAGTGCAGACACTGATTATGTTCTTTTTTTGGCAGATGGCATAGAAGACCTTATTTAGAAATATGTAATCCCGTAATTGGCCCAGAGGTCTGGTGCAACGTAACGGGCAAAAAATAATGAAGTTGTTTTACTTTGAACTCCATTTCCTGCTGTATTTTTGTGATTCCTGGATACTTTGTGTGTCGGCTTCCATACCTGGATTGTAAAACATTCCCATAACTCGCTCTGAGCCTGGAAAAAGGAAACTTCATTTCATGCTCCAAGAGTTTTACTAGATCAAGGAGGATGGTTAAAACCAGGATGCATGTTCTACCTCTGTAGTGCTGTTACTGAGATCATTATTTTGGATATGATTTTATGTGTAACATTTTATGTGTTTTTTTTTTTTTTTTTTTTTTTACAATTTTTTTACAAGGAGTACTTTATACTTTTCCGTCCAACTAGGTTTAAAAGTGATGTTGCAGACACCTTAGTTATTGTAGGCTGTTTAGTCTCCACCCCAAATCAATACTTCCAGTGACACTGGCCCAGCAGGAAATGCAAATTTTAAAAGGATCATCTGTTTAAGATGATTTATTGATGTGACTCAGCTCTCGTTCTTCCATATGAAGCCCTGGCATAGGAACTGCTTCCGGTGTGCCAAGTGTGGAAAGAGCCTGGAATCCACCACCCAAACGGAGAAGGATGGAGAGATCTTCTGTAAAGGTGAGATTTCTACGCGTGGATCTTATGGCTAATTTCCATTCACCTCCCAAAGACACTAGTATAGGCACGTGAAATGTTGCATGTTGATAGTACAAATATTAAGAACCATTCAGGGCATTAAACCATGGGCTCAGTAATGACTGATTTAGCTCTTGAGTTTCAAGAGAGCCTTTACTTAATTAGTGTGCATGTACTATGCTACATATGCATTTATGGTTTACTGACAAAAGAATGAGACACACATTCGGAGCAGGATGTCTTTTTCAGTGCTTGTCTAAACACAGAGAAGCAGTGTCTCACCATCCTGCAGAAAATATGTTTGGCTGTTGCAACTCACCATTAAACCACACCCTTGCTGGTGTGGTCTAAACATCAAACACCACTTGAGGATTTCTTGCTGGCCAGAATACTTGCACTCTGATACAGACTACAGAAGACCTTTGTGTACCGAAATCAGATTTGTTGTATGATTGTTAGAAAGTATTTCTTGCTCATTTAAACAAGTACAGTGCACTTGGATGAGTAATGTTACTATAGAAATTAAGTGGTTAATTGGTAGAATTTCAGGATAATCTGGTAGATAGTCTATCCATTTGTGGTAACCACTTATCCAGTACATGGCAACAGAGTCTGGAGCCTGTTCTTGGAAGCACAGACTGCACTGATGCAGCTGACTCCTTGACAACATGTGTTTGTAATGTGCTATTTGCCTCATTTGTATGCTGTCGAACCTGGAGGAAAACACACACAAATGCAAACTCGACAAAGGGAGTCAGCAGCAGGAATCGCGCTACAGGTGTGAAGTCACAGTGCTGCCCACTGAATCTGATTTCAGGCGGCTTCAGTGATCTAGCAGCAGCGAAGAGGGCAACTCTGCTCCAAAAACAAGCATGAAGGGACTTTTGCAAGAAAATGCCATTAAACCAAACAGTTGACATTTTCTGAAATGAGGAAACAGACACTAGCCAGAGACACTAGCCAGATCAAGTGATACCGTGCAGATGATGACCAAAATTTTTAGTGACACAAGCGCTAGACTTAAGTCTTTTTTTTTTTTTTTGTGTGAACCTCTTAACACTGATACTTAACCAGCAGCTTTTCTATTGCAGCATGCTACGCTAAGAACTTTGGACCGAAAGGTTTCGGCTATGGTCAGGGTGCAGGGGCCCTCGTCCACGCGCAGTGAATCTGCCCCTGAGCACCGCGTACCACATACACGGCCCTCAGTCTCAGCTACGTCTATTTTATTACTGTCCAAAGAAGCGTTTGCCAGTGCCGTAGTACTTTCTGATGACATGCTTTGAGGATTGCTGTGTAAAAACTAGGCTGCCTATTTTCATATTGCAAATACAATAAAGCGTATGTATACAATTTTACACCCATGTGCCCTGAGGTACTTTCACACAGGAATAAATCACATCTATATTTTTTTGAGCAAACAGGTGAAAAATGCTACGAGAAGCAGCTGGCCGACAAGTGATTTAAGTCTATGGTCACTTAATGTGCTCACGTGACACATTCATCGCTATATAGGCAGAACCGATGCAAATTATTTCCAAGAGCAAAAAGTGGTCGTGGTTGCGTAGCTTTAAAAAGGGCAAATATGAATATAAATATATATCCCCCCCATCAGTGGGGTAAGTAATGGTAGTTATGAATTGGAGAACAAAGATGATTTCACACAGTAGATGTTCCAGGTAACAGGTGTGGAGTTTATTAAAAAAAAACAAAAAAAAGGCATAAGCCTTGGTTCAGTGTGTCCCCCCCTTCCCTCCCCACCACAAAGCCTTATGGGCAGGCGTGTCAAACGGGTGCGTCTGGTGGGCCGTGCATTTCCAAGCTTTCCATTCCTCATCATTAACAGATCCAAACATACTAATGTAGGTTAAGAACATAAGAACATAAGAACATAAGAGTTATTCGTTTGTACCGAATGAAAATGTTCAAATACAATTTTAACATGTTCTTTTAAAAGATTTATAATTAAGGGAGGATTCTGGCAGTTATAATCAGAATATACAAGGTCCACCGATCATCATTTTTGACAGACCTGCTTTTTAGTCTCCAACTCTAGTCCTGGAGAGCATCTGTCCAGCTCACTTTAGATGGCAACCTAATTATCTATCTCTGCAAGATTAGATTGTGTCCATAAGCAGTCAGTGACTTCATGTAATTGAGACAGAAACACGTTTGATTAAGATCACAGTATTTTTGATCACAGGACGGTACCTCCGAAAGGGCAGCGTTTGTTCTAAGCAACAGGAGACTGTTACATCGATGGGTATCTAATCCTGCAGAAACCATAATTAGGTTGGGTGGCTCAACACCAACCGTGAGCGGAGCTCTGTAGAACCAGGGCTGTGAGACCGTACTTCTGTAGATTAAAGCCTCTTAGAGATGTGGTCACAGGAGACGGTTTACAGTTATACATTAGTAAGAGTCCACACAACCTTTGCATTTGAGGACAGCTTTTATGAATACAGCCTGCTTACATCCAAAAGGATTCCTATGCGGACGGTCGAAAAATAACATTGCTAGGCCTCCTTTTTAAGAACACAACAGTGAATAGCAGTGTTACAACCCCAAAGCTTTGCCTTTAGGTCCTTTATACCAAAAAGGAAACACTGTCAAACCCTCTTTCATTAAAAGGAAAAAAAACTGGACTTTTTGTATATTTTATACATTTAAATGAAGTGTTTCATTATTAAAGCCATTAAAATGGTATCATGCCCAATATGGAATTAAGGTAATAGTCAAGGGCTAAGAGGCACTGTAAAAACATGAATCACTCATGTATTTTCATGTGGTGTTCCCACGTGAAGGGGCATGCGGATTCTTCCTAAGAGCTATCACATGCCTATCTTTAAAAAAAATAAAATAAAGAAAAACACACTGAATTGAAAATTGTCATTTGACCTCAACACAATGAGAACCAAAGAGCCAAGGTCAGAGGCTAAGTAAAAAGACTCCGCCCATTACAGATGACAGGAGCTTTTGTGCTGTCAGGGTCCAAAGGCTGGATCTGAAACCCGCGTGCGGCAGCCGGACGTTGGAGACGCGAAAAGGAAAAAAACGCTGCAGCCTGCTCTCGTAATTTCACATTATCTTTCCTCGCAGTTTATGCATCCAGCCACACGACAAACTCCAGAGATACAACATATAAAATCTATTTTTTTTTAAAAAAACAAAACAATTCTGTTATCCCCTGATATGGAACAGTCAAATAATTTACACCACGAAAGACGGTTTCCTGGCACTTGCAGAGACCAATGCTGCCCCTGAAGATACATGAAACTTGGGGATTGGAGGAAAAAAGGTATCGCAAAAGTACTCACACATCCACTATTTACAGAGACATGGCTCCCCTTTGGCTAGGATACACAGGACAAATGGCCAGGCTGCTGGTGAGCAGCTCTGCGGGATGGGAACACGGTATGGAAACGGGCTGGTTTCAAAGCATCACGCATGCAGTGTTCTCACAAGGTAAGATTCCTCAAGACAGCGGCGAGGAACATCGCCAAGCGCTAATGTCACAACTACGTCACGGCCTAAGGGAGACCGGATGAAATTCAGAGAGCAGCTTAAAACCCAACGGCGACGAAAAAATTTCACGGACGAAAAGAACTAACTAGCTCATTTATGTACAGATAGACAATCTTTACACTCGTTTAAACCTGTTGCTGCTGCGTAGATTCGGCTCGTATGAAAACAGAAGGTTAGCGGCCGCTGCTGCCCTGTCGCCCTCTGGTGACGTGGCCCGTCTTCTGTAAACGCAGAATTGGTATTCGGAAGGCCGGTTTGACCTGCTGTTTTAGCGGCAGGACGAAAAGCAATCAGTGCATCATATTAACAAATTAAACAGGGAAGAAATAATAATAGTAATAAAATAAAAAAAAAAAACGGGAAGACTCCTTCCTGTAAAAAAATAACCATTATAACCAATAACCACTTTAACCATTCCATAAATCCCCCCTTTTCACTATTTCAGCGGCTTCCAAGTCTTTGAAAGACATGATCATGTATCCTCTAAACTACACAATGGCAATAATAAATATTAATGTTATTAAATACATATATATGCATTTATACAAATATATGTTCTGTTATTTGCTTTCAAACTATAGTTGTACTGGACCACATCCTCTATATAATTAATTACAATAAAACTTTACATGTACTACCGGTAACATGATCAACTCATCTATAAATAGCTTAAAAAATAAATACTCATGTAGCTGTTACTCGGTGGTGGTATGGGTTCTTGCCTCCATAATCACAAACCGACTTTCACTCTCGCTTGTCCATAGGGGTCACCCACGCTGAGGTGTCCCAGCCGAAGTTTCCGATTCCAGACCCGCTCTCCCCTTCACACTATGGAGTGTTTCGTTTTCCTCATTTCCTCTGGAATCCGTTTTTCTGGGATTTTGAGGGTTTTATGGAACAGCTAAGCTTCAAGTATGAACCAAAAACATAATACTCTTAACAAAACAGAAAATAATTTAAAGCTACATAAACAGAACCCATAAAGTGACAATGACGAAGGGAACAAAAAGGAAAAAACGTATTGCATGTCTTGAAATGTGAGATTCCCGTATGGAGGACAGATGAATCCCTTTATGCAAGCCTTCTCTTCTTATGCTTCCCCAACATAGGTGGCAGTCATACACTGTCCATGTCAGGAACCATGGGGTTAGGGACTCTGTGACAGTGGCCATGTGTCCTGTACGGTATGCGAGTGTTCCCCGGCAGATTTCAGTCATAGCGAAAGGAGATGATCCCAAAGGGGCATTCCCAAGAATGAACCCCTCCCCCCAAACCACCCTGCACTTCCGTGGGACCCTCTCCAGGACCTGTGCGGACCGCTACACCAACTGGTATCCCGAGCCGGACGTCTGGTCGTACTCGATTGTGTACTGCGCGGTCCAGTCCACGACCACCGGCCGCATCAGGCCACAGCAACGATACTCAAAGAAGTCGATGAGGTTCCGCACACAACCATGGCTGAAGAGGAACAGGACAGAACGGTAAGGATTAGTGACACATTCAGAGACACTCAGACCTGTGAGGACTCTCCACCCACACTGACCACTCTTTTGTACAATTCAATGACAATGGATGACATGTAACGTACTGGGAGAACAGCTCCTCTACACCCACGTGTCCATTATAGCCTAGGATCTTCATGTATCAATCTACTCATTTTTGGCACATTATTTTTCAGCTCAGGTCCTGGAGCCTCTTTACACCATAATTTGCTTTGACTGTAAAAGTTAATCCTGTTACTTTGCTCACGTTTGATACATTAAGACTTGAGGATATCTAAGCCCGTTACTCTTGCCCATAGTTGGCTTGTACTCACTTGAAAGGGCTCTCAATGGACGTGGTCGTGACTTTAAAGTGCTTGTATCTCCTGGCGTTCATACGCTCATTTGTGGTCACACCGAGACAAGCGATCTGAAACAGGAAAGCATGAGCAATGCAACACGTGTTCCAGGAGGTTGACCGAGTGATCGAAGGCTGGCAAGGCTGAGTGCAATCTTAAATACCTTCACCCAGCTTAAGCGCTGGCAACTTACAACCTCAACTCAAACAGAATCTCGTAAAGAGTTTACGGACAATGTGAGCTGAACCAGTAACTGCATACCTCAATGTTAGTAGTGCTTCAATGTGGAAATATATAATAACAACTGATATATTTGTCTAGTATTACTGATAACAGATGCCAATAACCAGGCCCGTAAGCAGAAATAAATTTAATGGGGTGTCTGGCAACCCTATCAATAGATCCCACCATGAATGTGTGTAGCAAATATATAAAATAATGCATGCAGTTAGACATCAGTGAATTAGCAACTTGGGAGACTTCTGTGTGGTGAATGAGCCAATAAAATCCCTCATTACTTTGCTATAGAAAATGGGGAATCGTCCAATGCAATCATGTCCTTTATTTTAATAGATAAAGTTTTTAGCTCCAGTGCTTAACAGTCTAAATATCAACTGGCAATATCGACCGAAACTGACACATCGGACCCATGCAGAGGTCTTGATTTTTAAAGAGCAATTAATGAATATACTGTGCATCTCTACTCAGAGTATTTTACAAAGACCCAAAGTCTGGCCTTAGTGCAACTGAAACTTCAGCTACGTTTTGCTGCTAAATGTGCTGGTGCATTTCTTCCCACTCCCTTCTGTGTAGAGAGCTCAGAATAGCCAATACCATGTTTGGCGACACGGGAAGCTCTAGCTGGGGTCCTCTGCTAGGCACTTACCTGGTACATCTGGCACATGATGAGTACGGCCACCCACATCAAGTGGAAGATGCTGTTGAGGAACATCCAGAACATCCATGGCGAACAGGTGGCGATCTGCGTGATGTAGGTCCAGAGGCCATCCTTGGAGTAGCTAGTGGCACAGTGGATCCTCCAGTCTAAGAGCGAGGCGGCACCAATAAAAAGAGCAAATCAATGTGGGTCTCCCAGAACCATGACACACTCTGTTCAGGAGACCAGCCAGGCTCAATCCAGCATTCATACACACGTCATGCCGTCTACAGAGCAACTGCAAATTACTGGCCTTCATCCAACTTCCTTTGATTGTTGCACTTATATATCTTGCCCACAAATTAGAGTTTGTCATTTACCAGCTTCAAGGCAAGGACCAGGACCGATTTAAATGCAGATCCACAAGCCTGAGTGATAATTACGGACTAGTGAACGACACTCGCCTCGAACCACGATTTGCCAAATTGAGAAAATGCTGAAGCTTACAGCAGATGCAGCCGTAGATCATCCAGCAGATCATGCAGAGCAGAAAGAACAAGTATCCCATGAAGTAGCGGTGATTTCCACTTCCTGGGTGCAGCACAAGAAACAGGGCTGAATCACATGTCGGACCCCCCCCCCCCACCCCAACTGCCAAACCCAGTCCCAAATTCATCATGGGAGCAGGTGAGATATGCAGCGTTTCCTTGCCGAGATCCAGCAGCTGTCGCACAACCACGTGCCTGAGATTCTGAGTGGGAGTGACATGGTCAGGTACTTAAATTACTCAGCTTTAATATTTAAATTACTGCTTGTGATACTAATTTACTATTGGTACCAATTCTTATTTCCATTCCAGTAAAAGTGGACTTTGGTGTGTGCATGTGTACATCCCCATACGTGTCACAAGCCCCGTTTAATTTACACACACAGAATTACATGTGCAGGCATGTTCTGTATGTCTAACACACCCTTCCCCATTTGAACACCTAAATGTATCACTTCCCAATTGAATAAACCTTATATACCTAGATATTGCACTATGGTGTGTCTGAGTATTCTAATGTCCCCTATTGATATCACATCAAAACAACATCAAGTTTCTTGGCAACACAAAACGTATCAGCAGCCTGTCAGACCTATAAGAACGTCTTCAGAACAGACAATAGGCTATAACCCTTCAGAAGCAACTATATTAAGTCTGTCTCCCAGTGCTGACTCACCTTTCCTGTCTCCCTCCCCTCCCCATTTCCCATGGACACCTGTCCAAACAAGAAAACAACCCCCCCAGGGGGACCCTCCACTGCCGTGTCTGTCATGTGACTCTAGATCCGCACGGGCCTCGGGCAGCGAGCCACCGTCAGGCAGGCCAGTCCCTTACACCAGGCTCCAGCTGTCTTCTGGGTACTAGAAGTGTGAACATGGCAGACAGGCTCCTGCTCATTCCCCTGCCGTTAAATTGAATTTCAGACTCTATCCAACGGAATTTTCCGGTGCGCTAATCCGCCCTGAAGGGAGTTATTCTCTGCCTCCAGCCATGTGCTACTGCTTAAACTGGAATTCACCCCCAATAATAAAGCTGTTTATTTCTCTGGGGTAAGTGGGGGGCATCTGCATCTGATGCAGCAGGGGTTAAAAGCCGCATTCGGGATACATACCCACACAGTTGCCCACCCAGGGACAGTGGTGGTCGAACTTGGCGATGCAGCGGTTACACACGGCACAGTGTTTGGACCTCACTGGCTTCCGTATCTGCGGGACGCATTTTATGAGGGGAAATCAGTTTGCCTCACATTCATGGGGCCGCTGCTGCAAATTAGCTCCCAGTATGAGGTAATGCGACTAACAGCATTTAATGGAAGCAACAAATTCAGTTGATCGTGACAATTCTAAATACATACCTCGTTATTTCCAGAATAAAACCAGACATCTGAACAATTGTGCCAAGTACTACCCACAAAAACTCAGCAATTTGGAATATTTATAGATTAAATAATGAATGAGATGTTTTTTTTATAATTTTGTAAAAATTATGATTGTTACCAGGCAGGTGCTGCAGAATATGCTCAGGTCTAGATTTCCTGTTTCTGCTAATTCAACAATGGTCTGCAAAAAGGAAGGAAGAGAGTTAGGCAGACCCCAAACATACAGCTCTGCCACGTTGTCCCTGTACAACAGTGCAATTCGAAAACATCCACACCACTAAGGCACAAAACCACAGTTAAAGTTTAAACTCTGGCCGTAATTAAATTAAGCTGCTCGACAACTTCACAAAGCTGCCTGTCATGGCTTCACTTCACTGAAGTGGTGCCCTTTGAAATCCATAGTCTCGGCCTGGGTTATCGGTCCGCTGCGCCACTAACTATCACCATGGAAACCACAGCGCTTTCAGGGTAAGTGTGGTTACTGGAGTAGCAGTTCTGACCAGAGGGGGACACTGATAGAATCTAGTCATGCACAGGGGTGTGCCAAAACATGTGTGACCACACCCAAGGCATCAGGATTTATGAGGATAAAGCTATTTATAGTCTGTCATTAGTGCAAACCACTGGGATGTATGCAAGAACTATAACATCAATATAGCGAATTAAATGACAGGTTTCCATTTTTACTGCTAACTTCAAACATAAAGCCATGTGTTGATAAAAAGACTTGCGCTAATAAGTAAAAATGCCACCCATCTGGATGTACTTGAGAAGATAGCTTCTCAAACCAATTCTATGTTTCATCAGGCTGAAAATTATACACTGCATTTAGCTGGAGAAGGGCAATGTGGGTCGTACCTTCTTCTTCTGCTCCTCTGAAGCTCTGATGATCCCGGGATCAGATTTCCAAGACTTGCCAAAGTTGTAGAACAGAGCGGCGCTGGTCAGGAGGAAGGGGATGTGGATCGTCACCAGAGGCAGATGTGCCGTTCGTTAAGGACCCGTGTTTCTAATGAACTTTGCTTTGCCAGAAGGTAAGGGAGATGACACAAAGGCCCAACACCTGCATATGTAAGCTCCATATAGCAGGGAAACTGGAGAACACACTATACCAGGGGTTCTGAAAACATTTTGATCAAAGGCCTACATCATTCGAATCATAAGAAGCGTCATCAGCTGCGTCCAGATTAACTTGCAATTCGGCCCGCATCCAGACCCCTGCACTAGACACCATAACAGCTGCAACACGTGTGCATCTCCGCACGTCCCACTGCAGCTCACACTTCAGTTCGCTTCTGCCCTGTGACTCCAACCGTAAACCATCAGCATCAGCCTAAGTAACAGAAGGGGTTATACAGAGGCTAGATACAAGCAGCCAAGGGCCAAGTCTGACAGCCCTTTGCAAATTTACTGCATTACTCCTCTGCTGTTAGGTTCAGCCACCAAGGTAAACCGGAGTGGAGAGCCAGGAGACAAGGCCCAGCTCTGACGGGGTTAGACAGCTCGAGTGACACTGGCCCACGAGTGAAGATGACATCATCCAAAGAGGTTCCACACATACCATTTGGGGTAATTACAAAGCAGCACTGTAAAACGAGCGCTGTGTTTACATTTCGTTTCGAATAGCACATCCAACACACACTGTAACTTTCTCCACAGGATGCAGACTTTTTAGAGACTGTGATATCACCCAGTTGGACACCGAAGAAGACCTTATGTGATTCAAACCTAAAACAAAGTCACAAAATCCCAGTACTGCACTAACAATTAGAGTAATTACCAGATATTTCAGGAAGTATGCCAACAACTGGAAACCCTTATGTAAGTTGATGTACATCACTGTAGAGATCAGGAAGGCACTATTCTATCTGGTTAAAGGAATTAATGGGGATGCAACCTAAGCAGAAAAGAAACTACAAAGAGAGACAAAACAGTGGCTTAACAGAAACTCAAACCCGATATATACAGTATGCTCAACAGCAGTCTTGACGTTACGCCTTCTCCTACAGGGAAATACAGGGTTCCACTAAAACGTGTTAAGAGAAGCATTTAGTGGTTAGCAGTACCAGAAGACATAAATTAGCTTTGTGGTACAGAAACCCCTTCATCACAACTGTAATTAGTGGGATCCCACTCCCCACCCATCCCAGACAGACTAATATATCACAGAACAATTCGTACTGAACTGTACTTTGCTCAGTTCTGGGCAGTTAATGCAGACTAAGGAACCCTCACAAAATAAGTACTGAATGCATCGCGTGAGTGTTGTGGGTCTGAATCCTGGCTGTATGTGATGTGACTACAGTCCCATTGTTATTCACCGAATTTATTGACTGCTGAATGGTAGTGGTGGCTCATAAAATGCACCCTATGTCTAGAAAAGAAAAGCTTAAACTGCAAAACAGGGCACAGACAATGTTGACGTGGACCACATGCTACATTTCCAGGTAATAAAGATTTGATCTTGCCAACGTGACCAAACACGCTCTGTTGTTCAAGCTGAACAAATCTCAGATTTTGCCTGTCCTTGTGCAGAGAGCTGTGTCAAAGACCACATAAGTCAACGCAAGTCTTTTTTTTTAAATATTAAATGTCCTTTTACCTCTTAAGTAAAACAGCTGTTTCTTGAACAATTGGGAACAAACCTTCAAGAGAAATGAAAAACAACACTGCTGCTTAATGTTTGCTTTTGACGTGGCCCAACTCTGATGGGGAGGGACCCGTTACATAAGGACACAACAGCCACATGCCTACTGGACAGTTATTTAATTTCCTTAAACTGGGGCAAAGTGCATTTGGTGCTCTGGCTGGAGTTACTGATAGCCAAAAACCTCAGAGCTGCAGGGGAAAGTTTATGGTGATTGTGTCATCGCCAGCTACATGTCGTAACTTAATGTCAAAACAGGAGGACAAATCCATTAGAAGAGAAGGTGGGTGTTGTAAAGCCTGTTCTGGAACGTTCCTTGTGTAAGTATTTTCTGTCTCACCACCACTCCAAAAATGCTTTTGTAATAAGGACTCTCTCACCATAATGTTATGCTGATTACCTCAATAAACAAAATGAGATACACAGTACCAGTCAAAAGACTGGACACACCTACTGAAAATCATTTGTTTTTCAACAAGATAATGACCCTAAGCTACCCCTTCAATGCCCTGAGGCCTTTTATTGTACAGTGAATAAAACAGACAAATGCATTAAAAGCAGGTGTGTCCAGACTTTTTACTGGTACTGTAAAGAGGTGCAAAAACACAACTGAAAAGTATAGTCAAGCTCATATTTATAAACGAATACTGGTAGAAAACATACAGGAAACAAAGATCTCAATGGAACTGATCCAACGGCCACTAGGCTTCCAGAAAGGTAAGCAGTAGGCCGGGGGGGGCGGTGCGAGAGCTCCCCCCATCCACGCTGGAGAGCGACCGCAGACACAAACTCCAGACAACAATGGCTGTCCCCTAGCCAGCCAGGTCATTTTTAAACTCTGCTCAGGTCACGGCTCCACTGCGGAGACCTTCCCTTTCGGGGCCATCGAGCGACTGGGGGCCCGCAACAAGCCGCTGCGGAGTAATCCTCCAGAAAACCACCAGCATTCATGACCAGGTCGCCAAGGACGGGAACTCCATGGGAGACCTTCTGGGGACCAGCGGACGGCCCCATCTCGTTAGAGACTCATGGGGAGAGAATCGCCAAGGCTGGGACAGGGTTCACATGCGTGCAGCTACACATATGCCAAACAAGGGCCACCACAGCAAGCTGAAACATCAGGTAATTAGGCCGTTCCGTTGGAGCCGTTTAATGCCAGATAATGACACGTGGGAGGAATTCAACCGCAAAGATCCATCTGTGATGAGCTACTGGCAGAGAGCCCTTCCATCAAAAGCAGATCAAAGGGCTGCCCTTTCTACTGTGTTCTATTAAAAGTAACGATCTTTTGTATTATAGCGCCCCGCCCGATTTGTCAGCAGAGCAGAGCCAAAAGCACCTGAGACAGTGCCGCACCCCCCTGGATTAGTCACAAGACACCTCCCGAATGGGCAGCAAGGAGAAGTTAACCTTAATGGCAGGAGTCCAGGTAAAGCACATCATACAGACCTAATGCAACTGGCACCCACGTCTGGACCTGTAATAACCAGAGAGGAGATTCCAGTCGGTCAATCAGAACCTGGCACCGCCCAGAGAAACACAAGCGGCCAATGGGAAGCTCTGCTGTGTCCCACCTGACTTGTGAGTTTGCTCATACTTCGCCATATTGCACACACAGGCTACAGGCTGTTAGCATGATTGATTTTCTTTAAGAGAAAAGTCAACATAAGTAGAAAATTTTCTCTGGAGATATCAGAAGACATTGGCCTGTTCAGGCAGCCAACCGCATTAGGCATGTAGCTACGCTGCTCTTACAGAAAGACACTTAAAATCTGATTGAATTCTTGACCAAGGTGGTGTCAAGCAGTGCCGTGACATCTAGAGATGAACTGTATGTTTAAGGACTTGATGATGGTTCCTCTTCACCGCCCCCCCACCTGAGGCACGACCATGCCCAACCAGCCTCCCCAAGCAGCTCAGTGTCCCTCACATGTTCACTGTTCCTGCTCTTTGATCCAAGCTGTAAGCTTCCTTCTGGTGGTCACGCCCTGGTCCTGTTTGGATAACAAATCCCTCGTGTCGCTCAGCCCTTGTGCCTTTTTGGAGACTCAGGAAATGTGATATAGCGCTGATCATTTGGGGACAGGCACGCCTCAGACAGAACTAATCAAATCGCACAATAATCCTGATAGTGCTTTTGTGGTAATGTTGTAGTTCAGACCATTAAAAGGATTAAGGGATCAAGGTTAAATAGACTGAAGATGTCATTACATTAAGAGAAGCTTTTCACACAGCATACACTCTTTTCGGATAATGTTTCGTGAATTGTAAATATTCATGCCAGATAATTGCAGTAATTATCAGTAATATTCTGGCAGTTTCTATTAATCTCTAAGCCTTCAGAGTTTGGAACCGTCACGTAAAACAGGTGTGTGTGTGTGTATATAAAACTTACATCAGTTTTTGTGGCACATTCAGCTCTTAAACAGTCCTCAGTACAAACCTCAAGTTCAAATTTAACATGACTGGAAAGCAGATGTACATTTCACTATGGGTCACTGAGGGAAACGGGGCAGTGCGGCTGCTGGCAGGGGTGGGGGCGGTCGCCGATTAATTCTGCAAATGCTGCAACGCACACCAGCTAATTAGGTGAGAGCAGATGGTGAAGAGGCCTTCTGTCTGCTCTACAGGGTCTGCTTTTAGGGGGCAGAACTCACAAATTCCTGCAATGACATCTTAGTGGTCTCTGGACAGCAGATGGACCTGCATCAAACTTCTTTCCATCCATCCTTGCCCTTCCCCATAACGACCTACCTTCTATCAATGCCAGAAATGGTCTAAGTTCTCCTTTCATAAGCCGTAGCTTAAAGACCAGAGAACCTAAGCTAGGGGTGACTGTACCTTCTCATTGGTTTAACCTATAACTATACATTCATGATCTGGGTTTATGTAAAATGACAACTAATTTTAACATTCCCGGTCCTTGAATATAGCAAGTCTGGCAGGAATAAGGCGGCACGCACAGCAGAAGATCACCAGTTAGCCCAGAATAAAAAGGATATCGTTCCAAAACCAGAAGAACCAGGTGACGTACATCCAGAACTTGGTGGCCAGGTAGATACCCAGGGGCAGAGCACTGTGCATGGAATGATCAAAGAAGGACCTGGGAATTAAGGGCACAGAAAAAGAGGATTACCTATTGAAGGCCTCCTCTCCGGTTCACCAGTGCTCTTTGCGTAAGCCTCAGAACAGCACTACGCCCCAAATCTGCACCCCCATTTCGCCATGCTATGTGAACAGCCCCTTCACAAGGAAATCATACCACACGCAATGAGCTAATGCAGCTTTGCCACATAAAGCAAATACAAGTTTACATTGTACACTTTTACCATTATAACACAGTAGGGTCCCAAACAGACAGCACATTTATCATTACAAATACAACAAATGATGCATCCCTAAAGCAATGTAACACAAGCTCGATCATGCCATTGGGCTCCTGTAAACAGTCTTCACCAAATGGCTACTTCATGTGCCCATATCTTGGGCTCTCTGAGCAATGTCATGACGAGCTCCTACACGAGCTGGCACCCAAGACGTACTTGGAGAGGAACTGCACCGTGATCCACACTGCAGCGTACATCAGCCCTTTGATGAGCCAGGAGTCAATGTTCAGGTCGGCGATGAAGCCCACCAGCCAGATGACCAGGAATGGGGTACCCAACATCACTTTCTGCCGGAAGTCCTGAAAGACAGAGGGCAAGGGTCAAACGTAGGTAGACAGCTCACAGAAGTAAGGAGAATCAGACCGCAGACAACTCCATTCATCCAAAGACATCACTGTGGTACGTGTGTCTTCCTGGGAAGTATTAATAAGACTAGCCGTCTTCTGCAAGGACATTACCAGCATTTAACCTTCTCATCCATGGACATGACACACTGAGTCAAAGTAGCCAGGGTATGCTACTTAGTTGGCGTTAACCTTCATAATTGTTCAGCAGATTTTATTGCTCTACGAAATCCATTTCTCCATGACGTCTGCACAGTTCTGGGAAGCTCCATATGAAACACAGGAATACAAGTGCCCTGAGGAGATCGATGCACAGATTCCTCCACCTAGGTGGAATCTGCAGTTTCGGGCATTACGGCCATTGACGTTTTTAAGTGTGAGAGCTCCAGGGCGATTTCAGACGGCCTTGAGTTCATGGAGGACGAAGAAAAAGCCTGTATCCAGATTGCAGAGACGCCTGAGATTATCAGGCTACGTCTGATATGGAAAGAAATGGTCAGAAACATCTGAAACAGGTTTCTTCACATTGTGACCCTGTCTATTTCATTTTTAAGAGTTTAACATGTTGACTTCTCAAAAAAAATATCCATCTGAAATACAATTTGCATGTGGTTAGAGATGCTTATGCTTCAGGAGTTTCTCAAAATTTTTGCATGCTTATCTTTGTACGTTTTAGAGTTGAGCCATATGAGATCCATATCTACGGTTTAGACCTACAATCATTGACTTCATATATAAAAAAGACACAAACAAATCAAGAGCTTGGCTTTAAGTAATAACAGATTAGTTCAAGCTAATCACCGGAGCCACTGCCAGACACTGTGCACAGAACACCAAATTGAGCGCTTGCATCTCCCACGTCAACGAGCAAACAACAATTTCTTCACAAAGGAGCATTTTCCACTTAGTCTGGGATTCTTTACAAAGACATTGCAGCTCCAGTACTAACATATCGGTCATACTGAGCTGTGGACTGCAGCCAGCCCACACAGAGCTAATTCGCCGAATGGTTCTCAGTGCAACTCCAACTACATCCAACCGAAATTCAGCGCTGTGTGTAAAACACCAATTCTTACATCTACATTTAATTGCTGTGCTGTTGTTTTCAATCTTACCTATTTAAACAGCTTGATATTTCAACAGGGTAATTGAGGTTAATTACCTTGCACCAGGCACAGCGGCAGCGACTTAAATGACTTGGGTTATGACTCCATGTATTTAACCACAGCACTATATATAGTCCCTGTTATTTTTATGATGCTATTTATTGTTTTGCAGACGCTGCTATTCAAATAGGCTGATGCAGCTTTTAAAATATTTTGTTGAATCCGATATATTACTGGAAGAACCTGGATGTACCTTGTGTGTGCCGCTGCAGTGGCCATCAGAGACCATGAAGAGCAGCCGTTTGGGTCACAGCTGTCACTACGGGCATTCAGGGTGCAGAGCAATTGCCCCACTGCCACCCTAATGTCGCAACCCAACTGGACTCTTAAATCACCCCCAACTACCTCTGATGCTAAAGGCTCCATGTTTATCACACCACTCAAGCACCTACTGTACTTTTCAATCTATTCACTTAACTTGATCACGTTCATGAATGCATTTTCCTGTGTCATAGTCTTGTTTGCTGTTGTTTACAAGCCTTGACACAGGGAAATGTCCAATAATTCCCATGTACTTCTATATCTGTGCAAATAGCAAATAAAGAGTATTTATCAACACCAAGAACACAAACATCATATGTGCATTCTTGGCAAGAAAATAAAACTTGGAATCATGAGATTGTTCTTGTTGGCAAGGTGGCACCCTTTATATCTGGGGCTGGGCAAGAACGACATTCGCAGATTTTTTGTTCATGAGTATTGGAGTTTTACTCCAGCAGTGGAAGATGACGTCAAACAGGTATGTGAGAAGACTGGTCAAGTACGCATACTGATAAACACCCAAAGTCTCAGGTCAATTCAACTATGCTTCAGATCCCCCCCCCCCCCCTTCGTCTACATACTCCGCTCCACACCTTGTCCGCTTTCAGCCTCTTCAGGTAGGATGGGCTGTCGTAGCCCTTGGCCTGCCGAGCTTCCTGCAGATGGTTCATCATCCAGGCGTTCTTCCTCTGCTTGGCCAGGTCCAGTGCTGTCTCCCCCTGGACACACACACACAAACACACACACACACAAACAAACACAAACACACACACACGTTAGTACTGTAACAGCAATCAGAGCTCTAAAACCTCTCATGGCTTTCACTGTGATACCAAGGCTGACTAAATGCTAGGGTTGGGAATCACTTTTCCCGATACTGGTGCTACAACGACACTTTTTAACACAGAGCCGGTGGCTAACAGGTGCCTGAACTGAGAGAGAAAAAAAAAAAACAGAGGAAAGCCTACGACATAAAAGGACGCCTTTTTTATTTCTAAGGCAAATTTGCACTTCAAATTGAACACTATATTAACTTAACACCTTAAATATATAAATATAAAGCTGAGGTGTTCCCCTGTTACACAGTTAAAGATTAAACACTACAGGTCCCGATATCAGAATGCTTTCCAGTGAAACACCGGCACGTAGACCGTTTAGCTTTAGGCTTTTTCACCATGTTCAAGGTAGCTACTCGCTAACGGCAAGCGTCTGCTGATATCAGAACACATGTGACGTTAACTAGCGATGACACGTGAGGGACAGTGTTGCCTGAGCACCAGAGGGCAAATTTTTCAAACCGACAGTTCAGGCATTTAAGTGGCACCAAAACAAGCCACCGAAATACGGTCAGGTACAACCCTACTAAACGCACTCAGATATCAGCCCAAGGTCACATAATTATGCAGGATTTTGCTTCTTACTTGTGGAGCTAGAAGTATGAAAAGTCTCCGACATCCACCTCATATTGGGGCAGCTTTGTATGATCTGCTTGTTTTTCTACTCTCTGCTAAGTACCACGAACCCGTTTAATGCTGACAAAACATGTCCCCTCCGCAAGTAAATATAATCCTCACATTGTAAAGACTCTTCGATTCATCGGATTTCAAGAAAACATTCATCACAAAATGCTGTTTGTCATCAGCAGTTTTCTTCAGCTACAAATATTCTCCAAAACAAGCCAGACGCAGCTTTGAGTACCAGCTTCACAGGTTTAAGGCTTTTATTTTATTTTTTTTAACTGTGGGTTTTCACACTTCACTTTGCGGGAGCCCTGAAGCCAAAGCATTTTCCTAATGATTTCGTAAGGAGGTGCTAGAGGTGAGGTGTGAGCCAGCAGGGGGTGATCTCACGGCCGCGGGTCAGGGACGGAGACGTGTGCATCTGCCAAGGTAAATGTCACGTACATGTCATCTCATTAGTCACTCGCAGCGAGCAGTCACAGAAACACAGTGTTTATCACATTCTGCTGATGGCTCTATGGCTCAAATCCTTGCCCTCAGCGAATCCATTTAAAGCCTCCAAATTACTATCCAGCCACAATGCATCAAAGAGTGCCCATGTTTCCAAGTGAAAAAACAGCAACAGCTGTTTACAGAAAACTGCTTGGCGTGAGATAGAGAACTGCGGCAGCTGCGCGTCTGGGACCCTCAGATGCATGCTGAGATAGCTCATATGAAGGACTATAGATCCTTTAGAGCTCGCTGTTGCCCCCTAGAGGGCACGGCAGACATTCGGTCTACCACCTAAGGTCAAAGCTGCTAAAGCTTCAGCACGGGGGGGTGTGAGTTCCAGAATGACTGTTTTTTATTGGCAGACATACCAACCTTGAAAGTAACACCTAATGGAGGTTGAGGGCATAAATTTTATGTGGCATTTGAGAAGACAGATGCTGACAGCATGCAGAACAGATGGTATGTTTACAAAAAGAGCGTTGCCATAGATTCAAACTAGCATTATTTATATGTTGCGAAAGAGGCAGCTTGTGACCAAGATATGGTCTTTGGGTTATGACTTGATCTACATTGGCAGTTAAACGGTAAAATAACAGTTCAAAAGTCGGAAAAAAGATAAAGTAGAAAAAATAGATATTTAAATGACAGTGAGAAAGTGCTGAGACAGCTGAAAAGCCTGTCCCTGGCCAGCAGGGGGTGCTGGGCCTCACCTTGATATTCTGTGCGTCTACATTGGCTCCAGCATCCAACAGCAGGCTGATGACAGTGGTGTTGCCGGCCAGAACGGCCCAGTGAAGTGCTGTGTTTTTGTGATACTTGTCGCCCAGGCTGACAGACACGTTGAACGTCAACAGGAGCCGGGTAGGATCCACACTGCGTGGGAGGAAACCCGAGGAGGAAGAAAAATGCAATCAGCGTGTGGCATTGTGATGTCATCACCGAGAGACGAGAACTGCTTCCTTAGCCTTTACCTTAGCTGCTGCCAAGTTGGCACACTGATGCCAAAGTGTAGCTATACCATGGGGGGAAAGGGACTGGAAATATTTCACATCTGGCATAGTCAGCATTATCCTTCAGAAAATGCCCCATCAACATTTGACAGCAGAGCAGCTATACATCACAAGCAGTGATTATAGATCATAACACAGGACCTGCAAAACTCCATGGGATGAACGGCTAAGATGACAGGCTGCCTAACAATTACTTCTTTCAAAGTATTGATTATGGGTCATACAGTGAGGTGGTTTATCAGAAAATGTCAAGCCTCCGACACTCATCAATATTTCAGACCCTGTTTAGTTCACATGAACGGAAAGCACGTCGGCAACTTGCCTTCCAAAATCAGGGGTGAGAGTTTCTGACGTGCGGTCGAGGGAAACACGGTAAAAGCCTGGCCTCTGACATTTCACAACAGCAGCAAGCTTAACGGGAGTCGACCTGCTTTTCAATGACAGCCGGCAGTGGGCCTGAGCAACCGCTCTCCTGGAAAAGCAGCTTCAGGGAGAAGGTGCACTCATCCCTCCTGCTCTGCATTTCTACCTGGGCGATCGGCCCACACATTACAGCAGCAGCTCATTCACGCCTATGTTTCAGGGAGAAGGTGCACGCTCTCTGGACGTGGCTTGTGAGGTCTTTCCATCCTGAAGGACTACCCTGACACATGTAAACATCTCCCTGATAAGAGGGGATCACAAACCAATCGCTCAATTGCCCTTCAGGTGTCAAACTTCCATGTACCAAAAAGACATGTAGTTCCAAGAGAGGCATTTCTTAGGGAAACAGGACAGTAGCAACAGGAAGCAGCTTGTGGTACGGCAGCCAGATTTCATGCTAGGATTATGATAAGATTAAAAGAAATTAACCCAAACACACAAACCTGTGAGTTCTATAAGCAGCCCACATTAATGGTGTCATGCCATTCTGGTCCATCATGTCCACATCCTGACATGGGGTGGGGTGGGGCGGAGGGGTTGGGGGAGGAGTGAAAACAAGTAGTCAGCCGAGATCAGTAATGCATTTCAATTGCGGTTTCAGCAATGTGTCTGAGTGATCTATTCATAATTATCTTAAAAAATGTATAATTAAGATCCAGAAAAACATAAAATGGATTCTTGCACCCCATACAGTCTGAACTCAAAACTTTTTGAATACAAGCTAAAAATGAAACTGGATTCCTTAAGCATCAAGTTAGGAAATCTGCATAAAAAAACATAAATGCTATAGTGAAAACAAGTGATAGAGCTCCCCCTGGTGTACAACTGAAGTAAGGTTACATGTCACCGAAGCAGAATCAAACCAATAAAACTCTAATCTATCTCCATAAACATAAAAAATAAACTGAAGTAAACCTAAATAAACAAGGTTCAATGGCATAAAACAGTGCGAGAACAAACACTTAATATACTGACATTCTTACTCTGTGCTCATAAACTAGACTTCAACTGCACCTGGCTTATTTAATATATCTGATGTTTTGTAACAATATTTGTTAAAGTTATAAGACATGAGTAAATTTTGTCTTTCAGTGTTGGTTAAATTACAGATGGAACAAAATTTATGACAACATTGTCTATTCCAACTGTTTACAAAAGTCTAGCGAGTGCGCGTAAATCCAAGGGAAATACTTGGAATGCTTCAGAAGCAGTAAGACTGCAGACTGGCTCCATGTGTAAGGTCCCGCATCTCGCACCTGGCCCTTTGCGATTAAATAGGCCACGATGGAGGTGTGTCCAAACTGCGCAGCCAGGTGGATGCAGCTGCAGCCCTCGCCGTCGATCAGCGCCGGGTCGGCCCCATACTTCAACAGCTGGACCACCATGGAGAGGTGGCCCTGTCTGGGGAGACGGGGGAAGATGGGGTTAAAGGTTAAAGGTCACCGGGGCGCTCGTCACGCCATGTGGTCCATGGAATCAGGCATTATGGAAAACACAGGGTCACGCATGTTTCAAGGTGCTTTTTAATTATGTACATCAGCGTTTCTCAATCCAGTCCTCATGGACCCGCTCTCTCCCAGCTCCCGGTAGATTTGGAGTGTCTGGCAGGGAGCTGGGAGGAAGCAAAAACGTGGACCGTCTGTCGGTCCCCAAGGACTGGATTGGAAACACTGATGTACATATCAACTTATGTCAATCAAACCTTCACTGCATAAATGCACAAATGTTGTCACACTGCAATAGAAGCTCCTAAAAGAGAAAGTGATACATCTGTAAATTAAATTTTATATGAATAATTCAACGTTACTTTCACCAAAAAAAAAATACAACTACAATGTTGATGTGTAAGAGTGTAATGCTGATGCACGTGGTCCTGGGGTCAAAGAAAACACAGGCAGAGAAGCCAGCCAGCAGCTAAACATCAGCTGTCTGGGTACGATGCCGGAGGCTGGCCTTCCAGACACGCTGTTACATTCTCTCTGATCCCTAAATGACGCACCGCGCAGACCAGCAATAAGAGCGGCCCCAGTTGGGTCTGTGAGTCAGGACAACCTAAAGCTCGTCTCACACATACATACACAGGGCTCAGTGGGGCTGTGTTATACCAGCGTTTCTCAACCCAGTCCTCGGGGATCCCTGGCAGTCCACATTTTTGCTCCCTCCCAGCTCCCAGCCAATCAAGAACACCGACTACCTGGGATAGGTGTGTTGGGAGAGGAGAGGGAGCAAAAATGTGGACTGTCTGCAGGTCCCTGAGGACTGGGTTGGGAAACACCCTATGATACAGTACCAATGAGACTGCTACAGACATTTAGTTCAGGTAGTCTTCAGAGCTGACATTAGCAGTCACTAAATTATACCCCCCACCTCCCTGGGGCAGCCCCACAGCCTGTGAGGGAGGGTTATGCTTTGATGGGACAAACCTCAGACACTACATAAAAGTCCAATGTTACAAATATGAATGAGGAACAAAATAAACCCTTGAAAAATAAGACGGAGAGCTGAGGGATGTGGAGATGTTCCAAGGAGGTTTGTACTCCCATAAAAGAGGGCAAAGGGGTTCAGCTGTCGGGAGGGAAAGTCTAACCCTGGACGCCCAAGGAACCAAAAATGTCCAGAAAAAAAACCAAACTTAAACTCTGGTTTACTGACGCAGGGTAGTGAGCACAAACAATTCAAGAGAGTGAAGAGGTGAGAACAGAACTGATTAGAAGAATCCAAAAGAGATTTGGAAATGATGCTCAGTGCGACCATCTGTGATTTTAGGCGTCAACACTGATAATACTCTACAGTTCTGACATTTCAGTGAGTCAATAAATGTCAGTCACACACTTAGAGACACCTTCCTGTTGGGAACACCTGTCATGATTCTGGAAGCGGCAAGTTAACAGAGGGTACAGGGAACTAGGGCTGGGCGATATGACTTAAAATCATTGGTATATTTCATGGTATCATGGTATATTTCACATTTTGAACGGTGACGGTATCACTTTTTTCCAAGTTTTGGGAGGAGGAGCCTATCCTGCCCCTCTATGTAAATTAAAGTATTTTGGTAATATATTAAATACATGGAATGTATCATATTCAGCTGGGAGACATGGGAGAGTGTGCGCAGCGTTTATTAATGGGGTTTCCACATTTGCATTTATGTGAGGAAAAAAAGAAAAAAAACTAATAAGTATCATGTCACCATCCTTATCAGTGAACCCTTTAAAAGGTATGCTTATCTCTGTACAGTTCCAAGCCTGAAAGATCTTGATATTAACTTTTACGTGCTACAACAAAACTAAAATGACCAGTTCTGCTGTACCAAAAGAAGAGCATCTTTGTGGTCACATGGTAGCTTCAAGCCGAATTGTATCAGGGAACAGAAAAACACACAAATGAAAGGATCGAGGCACACAGTCACTAAAAGGTACACTGCATAGTATATTCGTAGAAGAAGAGCGGGCTCCCGGAACTTCTGGGGGGGCTGGATTGTCTGCATAGTGAAATTTTGCTCCACATCTTATGATTTAAAACCGAACCAGGTCCACACGCCCACGCGTACAGGGTGCTGACAGGTATACACGCCCACCCGTACAGGGTGCTGGTAGGTATACACGCCCACCCGTACAGGGTGCTGGTAGGTATACACGCCCACCCGTACAGGGTGCTGG